GCCGGCTCAGGGGCTGGGCAGAGCCTTGCAGACACTTTCAAGGGCTCCTGGCCTTAAGTAGGCCCCGAGCTGATTGCTACACATTCCTGACCCTGGGATTCCATTGAGGACACTGGTGGGGAAGGCGGGGGCCGTGCAGGCTGTTCGGATAAAGACCTGGTCTGGACAGGATGTGGTCCGGCCAGAGGGTGGGTGCTGGCCTTTGCAGGAGAGCGGCGGGGGCGACCATCACATTGAACAGAGCACCCAAGGCCCAGCTTGGTGATCTTAATGGCCCAGCCAGCCAGCCAGCTCTTCAGGACAGTAAATTACAGACCCCTACTAAGCTGAAATTGCGGCTCCCCATTCACGGCGGGTGAGCAGGTATGTTGGGCTGCAGTACCCGCTGGCCTGAGGCCTTTGGAGAAGCTGAACCAGGCGGGGGTGGCTTGGCTTCCTCGGAGGGTGTGGCCAGGGTTAGTACTGCATGGCCAGGCAGAGGCCCTTAGGTCATGGCTCCAGTGCCCTGCCTGGTCCAGTGCCCAATGCTGGCTGTCCTGCCAGGTGGCCGTAGACACCTTGTCCTTCTGCCAACAGTGGCCACACTTGCCTCGTGGGCCCTAGGGTCAGGCTGCTGCCTGGTGTGCTGCGCTGGTGCAGGGGCCATGCCCCTGGGATCCAGCCATGTTATGCTGGTGCCCACTGGGGAGGAGGCCAGGTTCTACTGGCCTCCTGGGTGGTGAGGTCCCAGGCCAGAATGGACACTGTGCCAACTTGCCCTGTATTGCCACAGTGAGTGCGGAGCTGAGTGGGCCCTCGTGGGAGCCCCCCCAGGGGGACCCTGTGGCCAGGCTGGCACTGCTGACTTCACAGACAGCTTGGCTCCCCCTAGCTTGGCACCATGGGCCGGCTACAGGCAAGTTATGCGCCTGAACCAGCTTACAAGGCAGCAGGGTCTGCACAAGGCCTTGGGGCCAGGGGTGCCACAGCCCACCAGCTGCCTCGGGTGGCCTCTCAGAACCTCGAGCTGTGTTCCCCCACCGATGCAGGGCACACAGACCAGGTCACTCGTGCAATGCCATCTTAACTCCCCACATGGGAGCCCACTCAGGTCCCTAATGCACTGATCAGGGTGAGCAGGAGGTGGCCCAGCTATCTCTCAGTTTGGGCACCCATGCCAACTCCAGGAGCTTGTCCAGTGCACCTGTGTGGTCCAGCGGCACCTCCCCGAGGAGCTGGCAGGCAGGGGCTGGGTGACCTGGCACTCCAGCCACTCAGGATGGGCTTCTGACCAAAGCTTTGCATGCTGCTAGACGCAGATGGGGCCTAGAAAGGCAGGAGGCTGCCCCAAGGTGGGTCAGAACCATGCCCAGCATTTCCAGGCCAGAGCATGGCAGGTGCCATACATCTGGGCCTTGGCTTCCCAGCCCCTCTCTTCTTCCTCACGAGGGCCTGGGATGACAGTTCGCACAAGACAGTCACGTCCCTGCCTGAGCCTCAGCTTCTGCACCCAATTGAGGCTGATGGTAGCGCCACATTGGGGTGGGGGATGAGAGCGGCCTGGCAGGTACCTTCCTGGGGGAGGGGGACATTGGTTCCTGCAGCTCAGCTGGGGTCTCCCTCAACTACCTGCCCCTCTGCTAGCCCTGGGCATGCTGGTTAAGCCCCCTCCCACTATGATGCCCCCCCCACCACCTTGCTCTGTCATAGTTGGCAACTGGAACATACACGAACATGCACGCCACAGAACACTGGGACTGTGCTGCCCGGCACTCCTGCTAGCCCTGTGAGCTGGCCACTCCCCCGCCAAGGCAACAGGACAGGCTGAACTGGGCAAGGCCCCCCCACTCATGGCAGGTGCAGCCTCTGGAGACGCAGGTAGACCCATGATGGCCTCAAGATCTTTGTGGCCTGGCTCCCCAGGGGTCCCCCTTCTGTCCCCTACAGCCCAATCTGACCTGCCAGATCAGGCAGGGCCCCAGCCAGCTCAAGCAAGAACACTCTGGGCTGGGCCCAGGACGTGGGGTTGGCATCTGTGGGCCTGGACACGGGAAGCGCCGGCTGCACAGGGCAGGCATGCAGACATGGCTCCAGCCACCCCCACAGCCACCTCAGCCCTGCGTTCCACCCACACTGGATTTTACTGTATCCGCTCTGGGACCTGTGTCACCCTTAAGCCTCAAATTGCTTCGTGACTAAACGGCCATCAGAGACGGATGCTGCGTTCTTAATAAAGACTCGCAGCCCCCTGGACCTCCAGCTGAGTCCGCCAGGCCCCACAGGGCAGCTCCCACCCCAGCAGCCCAAGGGGAGGCCTGCAGGAGCAGGTCCAGGTCAAGCCCTCCAATCCCCAGCGGCACTCCCCACCAACCTTGCCAACCTTGCCAACCCCAACTGCCACCCAGCTCCGCCCAACTCAGTCAGGTGGGAGGCACCCTGGCTGCTCCAGAACCCACCGTGGGGTAGTGAGCACCTGCCCTGCTCAGGGCTCCCTCAAGGCCGTTCGGGAGGGTGAGAGGCGAGGCCAGAGCCGGGTCACCAGACTTTATTGGGAACAGAAATGCAGACACTGCCAGGTGCACACCATCCCTCCATCCTGTCTCATCCCTGGGGTGCAGCACCCACCCTCAGAAGTTGGCTTGGGCCCTTGTGGCCACCAGATGGCCCTGTGGCCGCTCTCCTGTCACAGCCCTACCCAGTTCCCAGGGCCCTGCCAGCTGCGTGGACTATTGGGTTTGCTGACAAGCTTGGGGAAGTAGACCCTGGCCGCTAAGCCTCAGGGCAGGATCCCGCTGCCTCGTTCTGATGCGGGGAGACCCTGGCTGGCACTTTGTACCTCAAGCCTCACTCTGGCCCTGTCCCCTTGTCCCATGTAGACTCCTGTCCCCAGGGCCTGGCTGGCAGCTCCTGTAGACACAATGCAGTCTGGTCTTCAGAGTTCTAGCCCAAGCCCGGTAAGCCGGGGGGTGGGAGGAGGCCTGCATGGACATGGGTGGTAGGTGGCGAGGGCAAGGGAGCTGCGACGTGGGCCCTGATGCTGTGGGCACAGCTGCAGCTCCACGTCAGATCCAACACTGACGACCCAGAATGACCTGCCAACAGCCGGCAGGGTGGCCTTGGGCTAGCATTTAGAGAGGTTCCCAGAGTTTGGGAGCAGGGAATGGGGCTGCGTGCTGGAGAGCGCCCCTTCCCACTGGCTCACGCTCTGCTTGGCCAGGTCATGTCACAGGGTCACATGCATTCTGACCCCCCTAGCCCCATCAAGCTGGCACAGACCTTCAGCACACTGTAGGGGTGACCCCTTGCAATTTCTGGCTTATTTTGGTCAGTTTTTTCCCAGGGGTCTCCATGAAGTCACCCCTCCCCCAAGGGCGCTCTCAGCAGCCCCCTCTTGCCTGTGGTCGCTCCCATCCCAGACGACAGCCACTTGAATGGTGGGAGACGGAGCGCTTCTCTCACCACAGCATGTGCACACAGGACCCACTTGTATTCCGCACGACCACAGGTGCGGCAGGAGCGTGGCGTGAGGCTCTGTCCATTCCCACTCCCTGGGGCTGGCAGCCCTGGTGTGAAGGGCCCCCTGTGCCAGTGCTTGGGGTAATCCCTGCGGCTCTAACAGGTGCAGGCGCCTCCAGCGAGGCTGGCAGCTGCGGACACTCACTGCCGGGACCTGGGCTCTCATCTGCCCGCTGTCCATCAGGACCAGCTCCAGCCCTTCTGCTTCTACAGCCACGTCCCAGCAAGACAGCCCCGTGGCACTGCCGACACACACATTCACCAGCCAACTGATTGGACGATGAATCAGAAAGTTGCACACTTCCTCAACAGTGGTTGGCACTACGGGGCTGCCAGCAGAAGCCGGCTCAGCCTGGGGCTGTGGGGGAAGATCCCCACGGGTGAAAATTCAGGGTCCCCTGTGTGACAAGCGGCTCTGTGGTCTCTGAGGACAGAGAGGAGGCGCCCAATGGGGACCCTATCTTTGCACTTGACCTCATCCTTGGTCACATGGGCTGTGCACCTGCTCCCAGAAAAGTGCCCAGGGCACAGTGAGTCAGTCTCGCCCACACAGAGGTACTGTCCATGCTGGCTGGACATCGACAGCCGGGGGGACTCAAGGGACACTCAAGTGACATGGCCAGTCAGGCATGGGGACTTTCGGCAAACGCTTTGGGAGGAGGGACCAGAGGAGAGACTTGGCCCCGTCCGCATGCAGGAAATAGCTCCTCCCACCTGCCCATGTTGGCAGCCCTGCAGGGCTTCTCAGCATTGTCAGCAACCCCATCAGGTCCCCATGGCGGCTTGCTGTGTACACACACAAGGGTCCCACGCCTGCTGAGCAGGCCCCCAGCCTGGCCCTTACTGATGCCGATGCTGGGAGCCTGCAGGTGTCAGCTATGTCTGACGGGGGGACATGGGATTGTTGAGAGGTGGTGATGTGTTCCAGAGTGGGATCCTTCCTGGGGACCACTCAGCCATGGCTGGGCTCAGGTGGCAGTTCCCACAATCACCAGCAGGGGACAGCCTCCCAGCGGAAACAGCAGCTTCTGGACGGGATGGGGTAACAACAGCCCAGGCTCCTGGAGTCCCGGGAAGTCGGTTGTGGGTCTGAGAGTGGGTGGAGAAAGGCCAGCTCCAGGCAGAGGGAGGGACTGAGTTCTGGGAGGGCAGAAGGGGCCAGCCCAGACGCCTGCTGCGAGGGCTCTGGGCTGCTGCCTGTCCTGCTTGCCAGGTCCCCACAGGGCCAAGTGTTTACCAGGGTTCCTGGTAGCACTGTCAGAGTCTGGCATTAGCGGTCCCGGCCAGGAAGCAATGGACATTCAAGGCTGCAAGTTCAGTCTGGGCAGGTGGACAGCCACAGCCCACAGAAGCAGGAGCTGATGCTGATCGCCCAACTAGAGGACTCGGTGTGAGACTGGCCTGGTGTGTGTCCCTTGGGAGCAAGGGAGCCATGCACAGGGGTGGAGGACGCTCGGGAGCAGGTATGAGGAAGGCGGGACGGGGTCCAAGGACGCACGGGCTGGACGCTGCGGCCAGCTAGCGGTCTTCCCGGACCGGCCGGATCTTCATCTCGGAGAACTTGAGCGAGTACTGCCAGCCGGTCCAGGAGGACCACTCGATGCCGTCGGCGTAGGAGGCGTGCGCGCCACGCAGGTACTGCCCGTTGAGGTTGGAGGTGTGGCAGTTGCGGTACCACCAGGCGCCGCGGTAGAAGGCAGCACAGTTGTTTTCCGAGTGGTCACTGTCGCGGTCCTTGGTGGTGAATCTCATGCCACTGTGCTTTAGCAGGGAGTCGCCTGCACAGAACACGCAAGCGTGTGGGTCCCCCAGGCCACGTGCCTTGTGGCGACGCCGCGGTGTGTGGGTATCCACGAGGCCTGGTGCCAGCCTGGGCTCCCATCCCCCCTCCCAGGATCCCAGCCTTGGGCATGCCTCCTGGAGACCAACCTCGGGCCTCCAGACTCCTGGCTTGGGGCTCAATTCCACACCTGCCAAGTAGGGGCAGACACGACACTCAGGGCCCTGGAAATGGTGGCCACTGGCCTTGACCTTGACCTGGCAGGACCTCAGCCCTTGTCTTGCTCCACCTGTATGTGGCCCGGGGCCCTACCTGCGGTGCCCGAGTAGCCGGCCACGGTGAGGGGGTATCCGTCCTCCTCAGGGTCCACGGAGAACAAGCCCACACCAAAGCTCCCATAGTGGGCATAGGCCGTGCCATTGTCAAAGTCCTCCAAGTCCACGTGCAGCTCATAGGTGGCCTGGGTGGTCAGGGCATGGATCCTCTTGAGCCCTGCATAGGGGACAGAGCGGTGGGAGAAGCTGAGGGCTGGGGAGGGGGCCTCGCTGGAGAGAGCAATCAGGGACAGGCCGAGCTGAGCTCCGGCCATAGAGAGGGCCAGCCACCACCCAGCGCATACTGTCAGACACGCACTACTTCCTCTTTCCTGCTAGCAGGCATGTGGCCACAAAGGAAGGCCGTGTTTTCCCTGCTGGGTTTCCTCAGCTGAGCCAGGCTCTCACCTCCTGGAGAGGCAGCCCTACCCCAGGTACACCCCTCTCCAGCTTCTTAACCTCCCCCACCCCACCGCTGCCCAGCAGCAGCCCCCTTCCTTGTTGGCTCAGGGTCTGTCCCAGTCAGGGCTGACAGCCTCTGAGAGGGGCTCCAGGCGTGCGGAGGGGGAGGGGACAGAAGGCATTTTCTGCCTGGCTCTGCACCCCCCACCCCAACCCCACACCTGCATGCCTTCTCCTGCCGCCTCCCCCTGGCAGTCCGGGGTCCATCCCTGGCTTGCACACTGGGTCTTTCCCCTCTCCCTCCCCACAAGGTGCTCCCTGCCTCTGCGATTGCCTCTTGATTAAGAGGGCATTTAATTAACCGTCCTACAGTGATCAGCAGCAAGTGACATTTCATTAGCTGGCTGCCCGCGCCTGGCTCCACTGCCCCTGTGTGTCAGCACACAGAGGTTCCTGGGGGCTACGAGGGCTGGACACACCTCACCTCTGGGCCACCTGCGAGGCCCAGGCCACAGTCAGACCACCCTGCCTTACTCTGCAGGGACCCGGTGGGGACCCAGGCTGGGAAAGCAGAGCCTCTCCATCCACAGTTCACCGTGTGCGGCGAGGGACTGGCAGGTGGTCAGAGGTGGGGGTGGGGTAACAGGCAAGCCTCGGGGTCTGAGCTGATCCAAAACCAGAAACCAGGAGCTTCCTCCAGGTCTCCCACGTGGCTGCAGGGGCCCAAGGACTATGGGCTGTCCTCCACTGCTTTCCCAGGCCACAGGCAAAGAGCTGCATGAAAAGTAGAACAGCTGGGACATGAACCTGCACCCATGTGGATCCCAGAACTTGAAGGTGGAAGATTAGCCAGTTGAACCAATGCACCTCCACTTCTGATCCAGTTCCCTGCTGATGGCCTGGGAAAGCAGCAGAGGCTGGGCCAAGTCCTTGCACCCCTGCACACACGTGAGAGACTCAGATGGAGTTCCTAGCTCCTGGCTTCAGCCTGTGCCATCTGGGAAGTGAACTGTGGATGGCAGAGCTCTCTCTGTCTGCTCCCACACTTTTCACATAAATAAGTAAATATAAAAAAATAGGAGACATTTTTAAAAATAAAACCCAGGGGGAAAAGCAGAGTCTAAAATGACTGGCATGTCGCACAATATTAAAATTTAAAACTTCTGGTAAATGAACAACATTGTGACCAAAACAAAACAGAAAAAGCCCATAAATAGTGATGGAGAAGGAGTGGGAAGAGAAACAGCTAGCAGTAGACATGTGTCTCGTGTATGGGACACGGGATCAAGAGCCTTCATATATAAAGAGTCGCCATAAGTCAACAGAAGACAGCGTTTAGTGAGAAGGTGGTGGGAGAGCAGAGGCGTGGAGGGAGGTGACGCGGGCAGAGGGAGGTGATGTGGGCAGAGGGAGGTGATGTGGGCAGAGGGAGGTGACGCGGGCAGAAGGAGGTGATGTGGGCAGAGGGAGGTGATGTGGGCAGAGGGAGGTGACGCGGGCAGAGGGAGGTGATGTGGGCAGAGGGAGGTGATGTGGGCAGAGGGAGGTGATGTGCCTGGAAGCCATGGCTGCAGGTTGAAACTCTCGTCAGGGCACGGGCACTTGTCACAGCTGCCTGGCACGCCCTCTGCACTCCTGCCCGCAGATCCCAACTACGATTCCATGGTGGCCAAGGTGCTCACGCCCTCGCTAGGCGGCCATGAAGAGAAGGGCCCCTGTATCACTGCCTCCTCCCGGCTGGGCTGGGCTGGACTGGGGGAGGAGGACTCTCTATCTTGCCTCTGGATCCATTCACTCAGCTTGGGGTAGGGGACACAGCTGGGCCAGCTCTTCCCCAACACACACACACACACTCACACACACACTCACACACAGGACCTGACACACACACACACTCACACACACACTCACACACAGGACCTGACACACACACACACTCACACACACACTCACACACAGGACCTGACACACACACACACACTCACACACCAGCCCACTTGACATTCATCCACCTGAGCTCTCCGCAGTCACATGAGCCCTGGCAGCCCACTCACTCCTCCCCACTGCCCACGTCCTGGCCTCCTTGCTCAAGACCCACAATCTATCAAGAGCTGAAACAAGACCAGAGGGCCAGGGTGGGCTGCAGGGCCTCCCAGGTGGGTGTGGGGTCCAGTACCCACTACCTGACTTTATGTTAAAATCATAAATGAGCGGGCCTGCCGGCACTATGGCCTTGTGCATCCCATGTGGACACGAGTTCAAGTCCCGGCTGCTCCACTTCTGATCCAGCTCACTGTTAGTAGTCTGGGAAGGCCGGAGAAGCTGACCCAAGTGCTTGGGCCCCTGCACCCACATGGACCTGGATGGAGTTCCTGGCTCCTGGCTTTGGCAAGGGCCACCCAGGGGAATGAATAGTGGACTCTCTAAAAAAAGTAAATCAACCTTAAAATATATACACAAATGGGAGTGGCCGCTCCTGGGGACAGAGGGTTTCTTTCTGGGAGAAGGAATGTTCTAGAATCGGTCAATGCATATACAAGTCCAAGGATGGCTGACCTCCACAGAACCTTGCCAGCCTGGCCCCAGCAAGGCCTTCAGCCAGTGATGCCCCCAACGGCTGGGGTCCCGCAGCACCCATCCTGGACCTAGACTGGTGGCCGGCCGGTCAGCTGGGGCTCTCACCTAGCCAGTGTTCGCCCGTGAGCTTGCCGAAGCCGTCCCGGTAGGCCTCCCAGCCCCGGAAGAAGTTCACAGAGCCGTCTTCCCGGCGCTGAAACACCTGCAGGGGAGATGAGAATGGAGAGCCTCAGCCCCACGGGGCGACCCGGTCTGCCCTCTGCACTCCCTCCCTCCTGGCTGGCCAGGGCATGGCAGCCTCTCCCCCCAGGGGCTGGGACGGAGCAGGGGCCCAGGAGTCAAAATTCTCTAGTAGTCAGATTCTTGATGGCAGCCCGGCACCTGCTCCTCACTTGGCCTCCATCCTCCACTTAAGCTGCCTCCCGAGATACCAGCACTCCCGCGGGAATCAGTAAGGGCTCAGAGCACCCCCCCCCCCCACATACTCTCCATTGTAACGACGTGGGTGATTTGGGAGTGGGGAATCCCATTGCTTTCAGACAAGCACGAGGCCGGCCAGAGCAGAGCAGCTGCGAGTCTTCACAACTTGGACGCACACTCCCGCAGGCCACCCAGCCTTCCAGTCTAACAAGCCTTTTCCTGCTCATTTGCCTCGCTACTCCTGCCTCCATCTGTGCCCGTGGCCACAGAGCTTGCGGATTCATCACTAGGCAGGCTGGAGTTAGTGGCTGGGAACCAACCGCCCCTGGGGACACACAGGCTGCCCTGTGGACAGCCCCGGGGAGCCCAGGCGAGATGCCGCGCTTCACAGCCCCAGAGGGCTGAGATGGGTTGGGGCGGAGGAAAGTTCGATCCAACGCATGAGATCTGAGAGTCCTATTGATGCCTGCACATTGGGATCCAGAGCACGCGTCCTTTGAAAGCACTAATCCTGCAGAAGCCCCGACACTCCTGAGAGAACAGGCCAGGAAGCCTGAGCCGAGCCTGCTTCTGCGGGCGGAAGGGGTTGGCAACGTGTGCGTGGGCCACTGCGGGGGGGGGGGGCCTTGCTCTGAGACCCTGGGCAGTGAGCATGCCCAGAGGCAAGGCAGTCCGGGCTTTGCAGGAATAGCTCACTCAAGCTGCTCTAGCTGTTGAGGCCTCTGTTTTGTCATCTGTAAAATGGGTCCTATGACCTCACCTGCCTGTGATAAGCCACTGAGAATAAGCCAGGAGCCTGGGCAAAGCGGGTGCTCCATGTCATCTCAGAGTCACAGACCTATCCCAAGGTTGGCAGTGGACGTGTCTGTGTAGGCGCCAGCCGGGGCACCCATGGGAATGCAGGATCAGTCCTGGGTTGGACCCTGGGCACCAGTGCAATGAGAAGCAGCCAGCGCTGACCACCAGGCACAGGGCTGCTTGCTGAGTCTTGTCTGCGTGTACCTGCCACTCCCGATGGCTGGGGTACTGCGGGCCCTGCGCCCTTGGGACACTGGCCGGCGGTGAAGTGGCATTGCCGGAAACCACAGCTGCTACCAAGGCTGTGGTACGACTGTGTTCTCAGGCCTTGGCTCCAACCCCCAGTGCCAACTGTGCCAGTACGCCAGTGTGCCAGCGGGGTGCGCAGATGGAACAGAGCCACACACCGTGCCAGTCCAGTGCTGGGATCTGCCACAGGAAGGGCCCAGCCCAGCTCTTGGCTGTCCATAGCACTTGCACCCCAGCTGGCCTGGCCCTGCAGAGGCCCCAGGCGTGCACCTTTGACTTGTAGGAGCTACCTGGATATGCTCGAGTAACCCAGCCAAGAGGCCTCTCATTTCAGACCAGAGAGGGAAGCCGGAGGGAGCCACGCCCTCCTCCTCACCCGGTGCTGCTGCTGGAATCCCCACCTGGGACCAAAGGGAGGGACACCAGATGGAGCAAGCAAACCCTTCGCTCTGGGTGAGCTAGGGGGCTAGCTCAGCTCCAGGGACGACTCTCTTGGCTCAAGCCAGGAAGTCCCTGATGGGGAGACACCGGCCACCACCAAGTAGAGGCCTCTTGGGCCGGCGCCACGCGTGGGAAGGCAGACAGCACGTGTTTGCTCTGTGCCAGCACCCGCCGCTCAGCGGCTGTGCCAAGAGAGCCGGGGCCCACGTGCTCCCACAGATGGTGCTGGGCGGGCTCAAAGGAAGGATGGAGGGAGCTTGGGGCAGCTGGTGGTCCCGTGTCCCTCTTTCTCCCCCTCAGCCTGCTCCTCTCTGCTGTAGCGCTAAGCCTGAGCACCCAAGCTGGACTCTGCTCACCCAGCACCAGCCAGCCAGTACCTTAAGATAACCATCCGCCTCCACCCCATAGCCCTGTGTGGAGGGGTGTGTGCGCCCCTTGAGCAGACCATACACTGAGTCCAGGGACCGTGGGTGGTCCCCAGGCCCAACAAGCTCTCCCCAGGCTGGCTCCCAGGGGACACCAGAAGGCCTCTGCTGTATGACCTTCGACCCTTGGCTTCTCTCCTTCCCCCAGGTGATCAGAGCACGCTGTGTGGGGCGGGTGTGTGCTGACTGCCACCCTGGGGTGGAGGGCTCTCTGGAGGAGGAGGGCCCAGTGGGGGAGGGGGATATCTCAGATGATGCTGGGCCTTGCCAGGCAGTCAGAAGGGCTGAGACCCAGACCCGATGCCACGTGTGGGGTAGGGTCTCTGCCACCTTAGAAGGTGACACTCAGGGTGGTTCGTGGGCCTTCGTCAAGTGTCGCAGAGCATGGCGGCTGCGATGCTGCAGCATCCGCTGAGCAGGGAGCGCCGACTCCCCATGTGAAAGAACAAGGGACCTCGCGGCCTTCAGAGGCGGCCCTGGTGCATGCTGCCTGGGGGTCATGTCCATGTCCCTGGGGGGTGGGAGGTGCTCCAGGCACATTCCTGGGAGATCTCCCCAGCACCCCTGGGCAGAGGCAGTGAGGTTCTGGGTCAAGGCTGTGCCACTCCCCAGCCCTATGACCTTCCCCTGCCTCAACTTCCCTCTCTGTCTTCACACACACACACACACACACACACACACACACTCATGGGGTCAGAAGACGCACAACGCATCCACGTCACCACCCTCCCCTGCGGAGCCAGTCGCGCAGCCCAGAAGGAAGTCGGGCCCACTCGTTGTTTTTGACTGGAAATGGTCCCCCAGGCTTGGCACCCTGCCCCTTTCCCAGTTGGCAGTCGGCGCCTGCCGGCTCTTGGCAAAACACCCTCGGCATTGCCATTTCCCGGCTGTGGAGCCGCCACGGGCAGAGACTGGGCGTACCACGTGTGAAGTCTGAGAAGCCCAAACAGCCCCCTGTCCCTGGGCTGGGCCGCCCAGGTCTCTCTGCCACCTGCATCTGGATCCTGTGGGGTGAGGCCGTCTGGCACCCTGTGCACAGCTGGGGCTGGCGAGCACCCAGGAGCTTTCATCTCTGTCTGGGCTGGGAGCCTTTGATGCTCTCCACATAAGGGCAGCAGGTCCTCCCACCGGGAGAGTGAGCGCGCGGGGCGGAGGGAAGCAGGCCTGGGGAGGTTTTTCTCACGGCACAGCCAATTAGAGGCATCTCTGAGCCAGAGGAGCCAGCAGACAACGTGGCCGCGCTAAGGTGGATGCAAGTGGGCAGTGTGGACGCAGCATGGTCCCGGCTGGTGACTGTGCAAGGACGCAGGCTTATCAAGGAGGCCTGGCTGGCAGCAGGGGACTGCCCACCACCACCACTCCTTCCACCCACACAAACCTGCGATGGGCTCCAGGCTCGGCCACCCCCTCTCCCACGTCCTGCAAGGCAACAGGGCTGTTCACGCAAGGAACGGGAGGCGAGAGGGGCTCAGCTTCACACTGTTGGGGTGCCGGGATGGGTTGGGGAATGCCAGCGTGGATCTGCACCGGTCACCTCCTTCTGTCTCCATAAACTTCCTCCGTCTCACAGTGACACAGTGTGACACGGTGCGTTTCACGGTGAGGGAGCAGGAGGACCCAGGGTGTGGGCAGCACGGCCACTGGAAACCAAGCGGCCCCGGGCTGGGGTCCTGGCGGGGGGGGGGGAGTTCCTCCCCAGGTGGTTGGCCTCAACCCCGCCCGGCAGCCGGGATCCAGGGAGTTTGCACTCCTGTCCATGCCCATGCGGGTCACTCTGTCCTGGTGGCAATCCTGCTGTCCCTGTCCTCAGGCCATTCTACAGGATCCCACACTGCTGAGCTCTGCATTTGAACCTGTAAATCAGGGTGACCTTGACCGAGAGGCCCACCCCACCAGCCTCTGAACGGTCCAGCGCCCCCTGGTGGAGGGGGTGCAGGCAAGAGGCTTTTGCTGCCTCTGGCTCCACTAGCACCGTCCTCCAGGGTCGGCCACTACGGGCCAGCATGCAGCGTGGACGGGCCCTCTAATGAGGACGGATGGAGTGGGGGCCGCAGAGGCGGCTGCTAACTGCTGCCCAAACAACAATGGCGTCTCGGAGAGATGCTGGGCGGCGGGAAGGTGATCCTGACAGATGTCCGGCGCTGCCCGCACACAGATTGCTTCTGACGGAAGCCCAAATGGATATTAACGTCCGTCGGCTGGACAGCCACTTCGGAGACCAGCACAGGCTCCTTTCCGCAGCCCCGGCGGCAGGTGCAGTGCCCTGATCTCATTGCTCCCCAAAGCTGAGGCATTCGAAGAGGCCCTGAGCTGACCGCCTTCCCTGGAGACCGACTAGAGTCCACGGCTCCAAGCCGCTCTTTGAGAACCCAGGTTCCTGGCCCAGGGGGCCCACAGAGGCAAGAGCCATAACTCAGACTTTCTTAGAAAAACAGGAGAGCGCCGAAATCCCAGACACCCAGCCCTCCCGCAAAGCCAGGTTTAGAAAGCTGTCTGCCTTGGGGTCCTGGGCGGCTTCTCACCTGCGCTCTTGCTGGCTCCAGCTGTCCCCGCCCCGTCTCCCCCAGGCCTCTGCTGAGGGATGCAGGCCTTTTTCCAACCTGCCCCGGCTGTCTCCAGCCTTGCACCCCACCCCCACTGCTCTCAGATGCTGCTCCTGCCTCCCGACCCAACCCGACCCGACCCGGGCACTTGCTCTGTCTGTTGTGACTCATCTCCTGGAAGGGACGACAGGCTCCTGGCTGAGAATCCAATCCAAGATCACAGCACCCCCTCCCCCACCGATGCAGGCAACCCTCCCCCACCTCAGCCCCTCCCCACCCCTGCCAGGGCGTCAGGTCCTCAATCCTGCTGGCTGGAGCACCGGGGCCTCATCCTGACGGGGCACTCAGGGGCTGTTGTACCTAGCACAGGGAGTGGCCCACAGTCCTCAGCGGGGGTCACACACCTGCCAGACACTGATCAAAGTGTTCTGAGGGGCTGGTACCTTGGTGCATTGTCTGAAACGCCTACAGCCCCTAAGAGTGCGGGTTCAAGTCCCAGTGGCTCCAGGTCCCATCCAGCTCCCTGCTAACACACCTGGGAAAACAACAGAGGATGGCCCATGTGTCTGGGACCCTGCACCCACATAGGAGACCCACAAGAAGCTCCTGGCTCCTGGCTTCAGCCTGGACTGGCTCTGGCCATGGAGGCCATTGGGAGAATGACCCAGCAGATGGAAGATCTTTCTCTTTGTCTCTCTCTGTAACTCTGCCTTTATTTTTTTTTAAAGATTTATTTTATTTTTATTGCAAAGCAGACATACAGACAGGAGAAAAGAGAAAGATCTTCCGTCTGATGATTCACTCCCCGAGTGACCACAATGGCTGGAGCTGAGCTGATCCGAAGCCAGGATCCAGGAACTTCTTCCAGGTTTCCCACGAGGATGAAGGGTCCCAAGGCTTTGGGCCGTCCTCCACTGCTTTCCCAGGCCACAGGCAGGGAGCTGGAAGGGAAGTGGGGCTGCTGGGAATAGAACCAGTGCCCCTATGGGATCCCGGGTGTGTGCAAGGTGAGGACTTTAGCCACTAGGCCACTGTGCCAGGCCTGTAACTCTACCTTTCAATAAATAGCTTAGAAGGTGGCAGAGGCCGAGGTCAGCTCCACAAAGCACTGATGTAGCCAGGTACCCTTCCAGTCTCCTGGGGCCATAGACCACCTGCCGGAGGGCTGCAGGCCCTGCCCCTCGAGGTCCCTGTGGATCGAAGTATCAGTGGGGAAGTCCAAGCAACTGGGAAAGGAATGTCTCCCAAGCAAACAATCCCTGTGTCCTACACACCCTGGTGGGGCGTGTCCATGCCCAGGCCTAGCTGGGTGGCCAGCACGCAGGGATGGTGGCCCTGGGGCAGCGGAATTTCCCCACCTGGGCCTGGGCTGGGGTGGGGGGGTGGTCTCAAACCCTGGCTGCAGCGTTCTGCAGCCCCCAGCCTCCCTGCAGCACGTCCCCTTGGCGAGTTGTACTGTTGGCAGCCCAGTGTTCTAAGCCAAACCTGTACCCCAAGGCAGCTCTGTCACCTCGCCAGCAGGGGGCGGCCTCGGTACACCTGCCGGCCAAGTGTGAGAAAACCTCCGGACTCTGTCCAGGTCCCAGTGAGGACTCAACAGCACCCTCCATGGTAGGATGTGAGGCTGGGGGAGGTGGCAGCCGGGGGAGGTGGGAAAGGGGTCCACGTCCCCCAGCAGAAGCCTGGGGCATAGGAAGGAGTGAACCCAAACCAGCGAGAGCATGGGTGAGGAGCCCCACAGGACCACAAGGCTCCCAGTGCCCACTGGGAAACCTACATCCTGTGGTGGCCACTACAGCCCAGCCCAGCCGACTGTCCTGGAGCTGCCGCCCCTGCCAGCCCTGCTAGGCTGAGCTCTTTCTGGAGGATTTTCCTGCATACAGAAACCCCTTCCTTCCCACTTGCACTGGGAGTGCCCCCTCCTTCACCAGGTGCCATGGTGCGCTGTCCCCCGACAGCAGGTGTTGGGACTCCCACTCCACTCCCCCGACAGCAGGTGATGGGAGTCCCACTCCACTCCCCCGACAGCAGGTGATAAGCCCCTGACAGGCACGGGGGAGACCCTGGCTGGACTCCTCTTGCTGGCTCAGCCTGGCCCAGCTCTCCCCATCAGCGGCTTTGGAGGAATGGGGGGACCTCTGCCAGAGCCACCGCCCCTCCCCTGCCTGAGGCCCAGAGCCCTCCAGGTGGGGCACGCGGCTCCTCCTCTCCCACCGTCACTAATCCTGGCTCCTTCCCGGCTCCGGGATGAGCCCAGCTCGCGGCCTCTGCCTGCCGCAGCGCTCACAGCGCCCGAGCCAAGGATGGCCTGGACTTCTTAAGTGGTTAGGAAAGATCAAAAGAAGCAGTGCTGTTTATTTCTTGAAGCTTCTTTATTTTTATTTATTTCAAAGGCAGAGAGAGAGAGTTCTTTCACTAGAAGGGCTCAGCAGCCGGGGCTGGGCCAGGCCGAGGCCGGGAGCCTGGAGCTCCTCTGGGTCTCCCCGTGGGAGGCTGGGCCATCCCTCGCTGCCTCCCAGCTGGCCGGGTGAGAGACAGAGGTGGAGCTCAGACCCAGAGCTTCCATACTGGGTGTGGATTAACCCACTGCACCATGACACCTGCCTGCAAACACCCTTGAAGCAGTAACAGGAAGGACAGCCACAACTTTCCCAAAACGCAAATCTCAAAATTTACAAGCAAACATTGGATCGAAGCCACCGCTGGGCCTTCAGGCCTCGCTTTCGTTTCCTTACAAAGCCCAGCTGGGCGACTGACCCCAGACAGCCGAGCCCGCGGCGTACCACCCTGCCCCTGGGCCCCGGGGGCCTTCCAACCTCCCCCAGTCACTGCCTCACTCCCCCAACCCTAGCCTTCGATTGGCAGTTACTTCACAGCAACCTCCGGGACCAGAACCAGGTGACTTGGAAATCCAACAGCTCCTAGCCAGGCAGCCGGGGGTGGGGGTACGGAATGGGACGATGGGGGTGTCTCTGACCCTGTGCATTACAACCAGGACAAACCCCAAAACCCAGTGCTCCCTTCCCGGCCATCCCTGGGAGTGCCCACCACTGCAGGGCCTGGGGAACCCTGACTTGCCAGCCCAGAGGCAGAGCTGGCAGCTGACTCCAGGCTAGCACGGCGCCCCGGGGGGTCTGATGCCCCAGTCACGGCCCGGGGGGGGGTAAGGGGCAGCCCGGAACCCCGACCCTCAGGCCCCGCCCCCAGCCAGGACTCACCGTCCAGCCACCGCCATCAGTGCGCATGTCACAGTAGACCTGGAAGCCGGCTGGGTAGTGCGTGGGGAAGACGGAGTACACACCGTCATCCTGTTGCCCACTCAGGAGGACGTCCAGGCAGTCCCGGGGCCGAGAGCCTGTGTGGGGCAGGGCTGTCAAAACCTGCGTCCTCTACTCACCATGTCCCCCACTGCAGCATCACCTCTAGCTTCCTCATCTGGACAGTGGGTGCACTGACCACGCCATGCAGAGACAGAGAAGGCCCAGCCGGTGGCGTGTGTGCGGGCAGTGTCCTGGCTGCACAGGCAGAGCTGGGGTGGGGAGCCAGCTCTCCCTGCACCCCTCTGCCAGGCTGGGGGCCCAAGTATGGAAGGAAGGAAGTGTCCCGCCTGGCTCTCACCGTTGGCGCAGCCCCGGGGCCGGGCTCCCTTGGAAGGTGCTCTCTGCAGGTCGGCCTTGACGCGCGGCCTGCCCAGCCCGCCGTCCCTCTGCAGGGCATCCAGGACGTCACCGACCGAGGTCGCCAGCTGAGCCATGTGGCCTTGGCTTTCAGAGAGGAGCTGTAGGCACGATGGGGGGTGTGTGTCTGTAGGTGCAGCCACCCTCCATGGGGTTCCGCCCCCTGGCCTGCTCTTGCCCCAGGTCACTGGCCAGGACCCTCGGAGGGGTCAGCTGAGCTCGGCTGGACCCCGAGTGCTCAGAGAGCAGGGGCTGGACTGGTTCCAGCAGGCACTGCTGCCATCCCCTCTGTGAAGCGGGACTCTTGTGACCCCAACCGTTCTGGGTCCCCATGAGGAGCACAGCACCCACAAGGCACACCCCAGATGGTCCCACATCCTCCAGGCCACAAAGTCTTTGCACCCACTGTCCCCTGTGTGTGTGAGCCAGGAGCCTTGGTGTGGCCCTGGGCTGGGCCCCAGCTGCCAGCCCCCTGTGTCCCCGTGGCTTCCGGACTCCCTGCCCTCACTGGGTGCCCCCATCTTGCTGCAAGGGGCTAGGATTGGAGGTGTTCCAAGCAGGGCAACTGTGGCCAAGGACAGGGGTGCCAGACACAGACAGGCAGCCGGCCAGTGGGCGCTGAACTTGTCCCCTGGCCATAGCGCCTGTCAGAGGAAGAGAAACAGGCACACAGGCTGGGCCAGCAGCCTCAGAAACTTGAGCTCTGGCTCAGAGTAGACACTGGCACAGCAAGCCCAGCGCCCCCGTCCTGTGGCGCCCCCTCCTGGCCGCTCCCTCAGCGTACATCTGCAGATGGTCCAGGTTGGAAATGACCACAAAAACACACCCTGAATTACTGGGTGACTGGGGCCTGCTGGGCAAGCCATCCGTGCACAGCAACGCAGAGAACCAGACAGTGAAATCAGTGGCCGCTTCAGTCACTGAGTCTCAGCAAGGCCCTTGGCCCTCGGGGTGACAGACGTCCCCAGCTCCTGGGGGTGCTGAGTGCTTGTTAGCAAAGAGCCAGGCACATAGAATGGCACAGTGAGCTCCTCGCATGTGCCAGCCCCTAGGACCGGGAGTCGTGGGTCCGACAGGTGAGGGGGCTACTAGAACTGGGACCTGGACAGGATGCCCTGGCTGCTGTGGGTGAGGCCCAGCCAAGAGTCCAGTCTGCCAAGCCCAGCCCCTACACCACAGGATCACAGGCCTCGCCAGCTGTGGGGTGAGCTTGGTACCCAGGGCAGCCAGCACTGCTCTGAGAACCGCCCTACTCCAGGGCTGGCACTCCTGGGGAGGGGTCTGGGAGGCTGGGAGAGGCTTGAGGAACTACGATTGCTTGTTTCTGAATGACACATAGACACCCAGGGCCGGTGCAACACGTGTCAGCTCAAATGTGCCCCCACTGGGACACTTGTCAGGTGAGCCTGGGAGCTCCTGGCTCCCAGCGAAGCCATCGGTTTTGCAGCTGGGCCTCCTCCTAGGTCGCAGGGTTGGGCAGGGACCTCGGAATCTCTCCTGCCCCACCCCAGCATCTGAGGGTGAGACCTGAGCCAACCAGGGCAGGGCCACACGGGGAGTCAGCAGGTGGGAAGAGGGGGCTTTGGACACCCAGGAGTCTGGGCACAGGAAGGTGTGCCCCTGCTGGGCAGGGAATGGGAGGAAGCACCTGCCCAGCAGCCACCCAGCTGCAGCCTCTATGGGCAAGGGGCAGGGGCAGCCCAGTACTCACCAGCTGATAGCCACCATGCTGGTCCTTGCGGGTGTCCAGCTGGGGGGGGGGGTGGCGACTGGCACATGGCCCAGCTCCAGCCCCCGAAAGGGTTGTCACTACAGTGATGGCGCATGAAGACTGTGGGGAGTCCAGGTCCGCCCTGGCCCCCAGGACTCAGGACAAGTGACCTGGACCCCAGCATTCAGTCAGATTCCTGTCCTGTAGGGGAATGTGTCATTGGCCCTCAACCCAGAAGCCCGTGTCCAGTGGGCCTTTGCTGACGGGGCACCCAGGCTTGGGTCTGACCGACGGCCGCAGACGCCACACACACCCCGGGGCGGCAGCAGAGATGCTGGGTTTGAATATTAGCTCTCTGGAGCTGTGTGGCCTGAGACAACATGCCCTGCCTCTCTGAATCTCACCACTTTGTCTGCAACCCTGAGGCCTTAGAGGTGAGGCGAGGCAGTGGACAGCAGGAGCCCAGCTCGGGGCCCACCCTGCCCAGCGGGCGGCAGCCAGCCCAGCACCCTTACCTGGATGAGGCGGCCCTGCTCGCTCTGCAGGGCGCTGAGCCCCTGGCCCAGGTTGCTGTGGCCCTTGCGCAGCCCCGCACACTCAGCCTGCAGCTCTGCAGCCCGGGTCAGCAGCCGCGGCAGCTGCTCAGCCAGCGTGTCCAGCAGCTCTTGCTCCTGCCCACCAGCCCACCGTGGCTGGGCCTGATGTTGACTCAGTGCCTGCAGCACAGACGCCTGGGCGCCCTCAAGGCGGGCGAAGCCGTCGGCGAGGTCAGGGCAGCGTGGGTCGATGAGGATGCTGAGGTGTGAGCTGTCAGCCCTCTCCACTGTAACCAGGGCGCCGTTGGCCCCTGCCGGCCCCGAGCTGACCACGGGTGGTGGCGCCGTGCCTGGTGTGGGGGCATGGTTCAGGAAGAGGATGGCGCCGGTGACAGCCACGGCCAGCAGCACGGCCAGGGCCAGCAGGACAGTGCACAGCAGGTAGCTGCAGCTGGGCCGCTGCAGGGACACGGAGACAGACGGGAAGAAAGGGAGCAAGTGTTAGGCCTGGGCCACTTGCGCATGCAGCCTCCGTGGGGCCTCCCAGGGCACGAGGGGCTGAGGGGCGGGGCCCAGGACCCCTGCACTGCCACCTCGCTGAACACCCAACTCCTCACCTGGAGGGCGGGTGCAAGAACAGCTCTCACTTCTGGGCGTGCGTGCACCTGCTGGGAGCGTTCAGGAATACAGGGCTCTAATGTTGACCGTGATGGCGACATAAAGAGCTGGGCTGTCCCTGGGGAACGAGGGCCCTGGCAGGGGTGGGAACGGGCACCTGTCACTCAAGCACCCGAACAGCCTGGCACACCCACAGCTCTGGAATCCCAAGCCTCTGTCTGTTCTCCATCTGCCCTGCACACGGCAGAGGTCGCCCCGTGCCCCCTTCCTCTCCTTCCTTGGTGGTATCTGAAACCCACTGGGAGTGGCACCCAGGCGTCACTGTCCTCACAGGAGCTGGGACCCTGCAGCACCCACAGGCACACGCACTAGACCCTGAGGTCCAGAGAGGGCGCAGGGACTGCCCAGAGACACAGCAGTTAGTAGAGCTCCGAGGGGACCTCCAAGTGCCCCGCCTTTTCCACCTGTACTTTCTCCACCAGGGGCCAGGAAACTCACACACACACACACACACACACACACACACACACTTCCTGAATTGGACCTGTGTCTTGGACTAGGCTTGGCCATGGAAGCACAGGGGCTCAGGACCAGCCTGTGGTGCCCGTGCGGGGAACACGGGTGTCTTTTATCACCCCATGGTGGGTGAGCATGGGGCATCTGGGAGTGGGCACCCCTGCTGGGCTCCCCACCTGCCTTGTCCATTTTGCAGTCTAGCACTGCGGACACGTGGGGGTACCTTCTGGCTGCAGCTGACAGCCCTGCTGGCTCTGCTAGCACTCCAGAATGGCCCTGCCTCTCGCCTCGCTGCTGCATCCGAGGGCTGAGCCGGCTGAGCAAACACTACGGGGCAGCAGATTCTTCCCACACACCAGGGAGGCTCCACCAGGGAGGCCCGAGTCTCCCCCTTGGCATGCTGGGAGGATTGGGGGCCAGCGAGAGGAGGAGACTCCAGTGCAAGGGGTCTGTTTGCCGTAGGTGGCGGCAGAGACACCCTTGGCCTCTCTTGGAGCCCCTGCCATTCAGAGGCTCAGAGCCGCTGTCCCTGCCCCACGGCCATCCCGGAGCCACACGGCCAGATGACTTACTCCAGCCAGCCCCCCTCCAGTGTGCCACATGGACAGCCCTCCCCTAGGCTGGAGCAATCCCTCCCACCAGCCTAGTGTATTCTCCTCCTTGGGGAATGCAGGGAGCTGTCCCCTCCTCCAGGAAGCCTGCCTTGACTGTTTCCTCCGCTTCCCCAGTCTCTAGGGGTTCCTGGTCCTCACCTTTGCCTCTAGCCGTTCCTGCCTCACTCAGTCACTACACCCACTTGATGCCCACTGCGAGACAGGCTCTGGACTGGAATGCTGCATGTCTTTGGGGGCCAGAGTCCTCTGGCGGGATGGGAGGAAAGCTGTGGATGCAGCATCCGGGGACACAGGTGAGTCCCGGGTGCTTGCATCTGCCAGGGACCATGTGGTACTCAGTCTTGACTGCTGGGTGCTGAGTGGATGGGCAGATGGAAGGAAGGGAAAGCAAATGGAATCAGAAGTGGAGGCCCTCAGCCCCAAGTCTCAGCTCAGGGACCCTGGGCAGAGCCTGGGTGACGTGGGTGGGCATGGCAGCCATGCCAGGGATGCTGGCTGAGCTCTGCCTGAATCCTAGCTGGGGTTTGCAACACCCAGCTGCATGCCAGCAAGCAGGTCACTGTGCACAGCTCCCGGTTCCCCCACAAGACACCTGGCCTCGAGGAGCAACTTGGCTCCGAGCCCAGGCTGCGGCCTTGGCCTACAGGACCCCCAGCGGGTGAGGCTGGGAGGGGTGGAGAGAGGCTGGGACCCCAGCCCTGCCAGGCCCCTCCTGCTGGGAAGGCAGAGGATACTGGAGAGGGGCCGCAGGGGCCTCAGGACCAGGACACATAGCAGGGCACCAGGCAGAGAAAGAGGCAAGCTGGCAGCCGAGCACGGTGGTTTTATAGGCTGCAGCTGATGAGCCCTGCATAGACATCTGCGTGGGATAACTCCGGGGGCTTTGGCCCCGGCAGCCCGATGGTCGCCCCCGGCCAGCCTTCTTCATCAGCCTCTGGCCAGGCCCAGTATCCCCAACTCCCCAAGAACTCGGTGTCCCAGGCCGTGGGCGTGGAGGAGCCAGGTACCTGGGTCAGGTGGGAGACCACTTTCAAAACCTTCTCGTGCCACTAGCCCCCTGCCGAGCCCCCTGCCGAGCCCCCTGCCAAGGACATGCCTACATTCCCTGGGTGACCCCCAGGGCCAGCCTGGACTCAGGGACTGCCCGGGAGAACAGGCCTATGCCAGGTGCCCCAGAAGGCTGGTGGTCTGCTGGCAGGAGGGGGGTGGGGACTTGGGAGGAGGGTTGCAGGCTGCTCTGGGCCCTGGGCACAGCCCTCCAAGTCCTGTTATGGGGGGACACCTGTTGAGGGCCCCTGGAACCTCCTGGGGTGGTGGAGGTGGAGGGGGCTGGGGTCACAGGCATTTAAGGGGACACACTGTTGTGAAAGGAGGTTCACAGGGCTTCTTTGCAGTCTGGTCTGCTCCCACCTCCAGGCTCCCCTGGCCACCCCAAACTTGAGCCCACCTGGGTTTCTTAATCGTCCTTTTCCCAAGGCTCCTACACTCACTCCCATTTCTGTTCCGACACCCCAGCCCCTCCCCAGCAGCTGCTCTGGCCAAGGGTCCCATCTCATGCCTCTAAATCTCTGGGGATTCCCTCCCACCTGGTCCCTTGCTGCCCCCCAACCCACTGCCCAGGTGAGGCTGTGAGCTACACTCCCAGCTTCAAGGGCAGAACCTGCTTAGCCCTTGGCCTAGGGTTCCCACAGCCCGGCTCCTGCCAGCCCCAGGGGACATGCACGCTGCTCCCTCCCCATGAGACTCCCCCACCACTGCCACCTCTGTTAGTGTGTGTAAGGGGGGCTACACCAGGGGCATCTTCCAGCTGTGAGGCACAGACCACACCCTTCAGCTGCACCTGCTCGGGCAAGTGGGGGCTTCCTTAGTAACCCCTGAGTGAACTGGCCACAGCCCAATGAGAATGCTAACCTACCTTTTTGGAATGCTCTTAGAAGTTCTGAAAACATCAAGAGAGAGCACTGGGATGGGTGGGAGGGCGTGCTCCCTGTGCAGGGTCAGGGGGACAGACTGCCGGGAAACAGGAGGGGACAGTGCCCGCGCTCCCGAACGCAAGAATCAGGTCTATTTGTGGGTCCTTTCATCTGAGCAAGTCCACACTTCCGCGAACATTCCGCGGCGTCTCCACGCCCCACGGCAGTGACAGCCTCTGCCTGGTTCAGGGGCAGCGAGGACGCGCTAACGAAGTCGGAATCTGCAGCTCGTTCAAGGTCATCCAGCAAACGAGGAGCTGAGGGCACCTGGGGCTGGGTCCAGGTGGGACCCAGGCATCCCCTGTAAGTGGTCGCACCTGGGCACAGCCCTGCTGCTGCAGGGGAAGCTGAGCAAGCTGCACAGGTGAGCTTCATCCTTGGGAATGACACGATTCGGCTAAGCCAGCGGAGTCAAGGAAGTGCGGCCAGGATCTTAGCGCTGTGCATTCCCACAGAGATGCCTCCCCCCTGGCCCCAAGAGCCCCCGGTCCTGGCTGCAGCTTGCCCAATCTCAGTCTTACCATCTGCCAAATGGGCTTGTCCGCTCTGCTGCCAGCCGCCCAGAGTGTGGTGACCAGGCAGTGAGGTCACCTGGAGTCTGCCCCCACCACCTCGCTGGGAGCCCTGTGGCCAGGCCCTTCAAGGTGGACATTCCAACCCCATGCCACCATGATGGGCAGAGGGGAGGTGAGGACATACAGCGCCCATGTAAGGGACTGGTTACAGCCCAGGACCCACCCTTCTGCACGTGCGAAATGCCAGACTGCCTAGTGATATGAGAAGGAAGTGCAGGTTGCTATTCCCATTTCACAGATAGCAAAGCTGGGGTCCAGAGAGGGAGGGTGACTTCACCACAGTCACACAGCACATCTGTAGGCAATACTGAACTAGAAGGCGGGGCTTGTGTGAGAGAAGCCTGGAGCAGCCAGTGGCAGGGCCATTTCCCCTTAAGCAGGTACAGGCAACCGACGCGGAGCCGGCAGGGGTTCAGCCGTACGACAAAGGTAAGGTGGCGGGGAAGGAGGTGCACCTGCCACTGGACACTCGGATGGGAGCCATAAGCACTGCCCCAGGGAGCAGGGCAGCCACACTTCCCGCAGGCCCTGCAGTGGACAGCAGCTGCAAACACTCCGGCTGCCGCTCGGGGAAACCTGGGCCACAGCTGGGCAGGGAGAGGCCGAAGGAGCCCACGTCCACGGGGGACTCCTGAGAGAGGACAGCCTCATGCCAGGCAGCACGGCCTCCGAGAGACAGGAGCTGGCAGGCCCAGGTGACAAACACGGCCAGGACTTGAAGACCCAGCCACTGGGCACCAGGGAAGGCTTCCCAGAGGAGAAGGAGGGTGGCTTTGCGCTGGATTTTGAAGGATGCACAGATCGGCCCTGAGCGAGATGGCAGGTGTGTGTTGGGTAGGTGAGGAGAGGTCTGGCCAGTGGCAAGGAAAGAGATAGACAACCAGAACTGAGGTAGCCCAGTGCACACTCAGGTTAACCAAAGCTAACTGGAGGGGAACAGCCCGCTGGCGATGGCTTGGGAGGGCAAGCCAGCAGTGAGGGCTACTGTGCTCGAGCTCTAGGGGACCACCTGGACTGTGCCCACCTGGGAGGGGCCCAGGGGAGAGGTCCGAGAGGTTGACACACACATGCATGTGCTGACATGCTGTGTGACCTGGACACATTCATCTACCTCTCTGATCCCTGGCTTTGAAGTGAAAACGCACGCCCGACCCACCTCTCCCCTACTCCCAGACTGGGCAAAAAGGGAGGATGAAAACATAGAAAGGAACTTTGTACACCAGACAGGGCTGGGTCTCCAGGGAGCCACGCAGTACCACCCCTCCCCAAAGAATGAGCAGGTGGCAGCTCCTGAAAATGAGGGACCGCCAAGGCCCGCCCCTGCCGCCCCCTCCTGCCACCGCACACACAGACTGTTCCTTCCCCAATGACATCTGTCTGGAAGAAATTTGAAATTTAAAACGGCAGCCCCATTATTTCCTTCTTCCGACAAACGGGCCTCCCTAGCTCGCCTGCCCGGCCGCCTGCATGTCCACCTGGCAGATCCCTTGGCAGCCCAGCCCTGGGCAGCCCCGGGGCAGCCCCTCTACCTTGGCTTAGCTGGCTAGCTGGCCAGCCTGGGCGCTCTGCTCTGGTTCTGCTCCAGTGCACAGCCCTAGGCGCCCTCCAAGGCCCCGCAGCAGAGGCAGCACGGAACGAGCAGACCAGGGTTCAAATCCCCACAGAGCCGCGCGCCCCGCAGGCTGGAGGAGCCTACCCCCTCCCAGCCTTGTATACAGGGTGGTAGTCGCTATCCTCGCTTTTTCCGGGAGGTGAATATGTATCCATCTCCCACCCCCACCCCCGGGAGGACCGGCCAAAGTCCCCAGGGCTAAATCCTGCCCTGGAATCTGGGGCTGATGTGCCAGGTGCCCGCCTGGTACAGGGTGGTGCCCGGAGACGGGGCTTTGGTGAAGACTAAGCTGCCCATGGCCGAGGCGGGAAGCGGTGGCTCAGCAGGACTGGTGGTCTGCGGGGCTCACACGGCCAGTTATCGGTCCCCTCCTGGCACTGCACACGAGGGCACCGGGTCTTTGCTGGCGACGCGGGGCTGCCCTGCAAACGCCCGTGGCTCCCGCACGCAGGAAAGCACCTGCTCGGTCTCGAGCCTCCGGAGCCTCTCAAGGGTGCACCCCAAACTCCAGCCCCCGCACGAGGTGCCCGCCCCACCGGCCGCGGGGGCGCCCCTGGAGTCCCGAGCGAGTGCTCATACCTGCGGCTTGTCGCGCGGTCGGTCCTCAAGTTGGGAAGCGCCACCCATGGTCTTCCAACGGTCGTTGACCATCTTCCCGCAGGACTGGTGGGGACGCCGGGCCCGGCGCGCCGCTGCCGAGCGCAAAGGCGGCGAGGTGGGCGCGGGGCGCGCTTGCCTCGCCGGGTCCCCGCCTTGCTGTCCGGCGCCCGGGGCGGCGGGGCGCGGGCAGCCGTGTGCGGGTGAGAGTGGGAAGCGAGAGCGCGAGAGCCGCCCGCCTGCCTGCTCGCCGCTCGCGCCGCCGCCGTCCCCGCGCCCGCGCCTCCCCTGCGCGCTCCTCTCCACTCCCGCGCCCGCCCGCCTTCCCCGGCTCCGCGTCTTTTTGTCTCGGACTCTTCGCTCTTCCCGCTGCCCTCCGCCTCCCCACCACTGGCGCACACCCGTGTGCACAGGCGCGCGCTGCGACGGACTTGCAGGGGGAACTCCGCCTCCCCAAACGCCACCACGGGAAAGGGGACAGAGCCGGTCCCTAGATCGATCGCAGGGCCGGACAGGAGGGACAGCGAGTAGTCCCGGACGGCCCGGCCCTCGCGGGTTCCCACCTGGGCCTGAGCACCCCGGGCGAGGCCTCGGCACAAACTTCCTCGCCGGCCAGATTCGCAGCAACTTAGCGTGCGCGTCCCTGCCGGGCCACCGGGCATCTCCCGTGAGTGCCCCGCGCTCCCTCGGCTGCCTCTAGGCTCAGGGTGCCGGCCTCGTGCGGAGAACGGGACTGGGCGGGAGATGGGAGCGAGAAGCCTCTCCCCCCACGGGCCTCTGGGGTGTGAGTGGGGGCCCCGGGGCAAGTTCGTCTTGCCCGGGAGTCTGCAGCCGTCAGGACCCACCCGATTTAGAACACCTCAGTCAAGGCCCGCAGAAGGGTGGCCGGGAACTCCGGGGCGGAACGGGGACCCCCGGCGCCGCGCCAGCAGCGGTGGGAAGGACGCGCTCGCGGCCGATCGCCCGCACTCCCCAGGCGCGCCCCGCGCCGTCTCAGCCTCCGCCGCCTCCTCTGCGGCGAAAGGAGGGATTTGACCCGGGAGGGGGCTTCTTAGTCAACCCCTCCCAACCGGGGCACTTTTAAAAGCGTTTAATCCGCCCCGGGTAGCCTTCGGAAGTAATTGACAAAGTCCTTAATCTGCGCGGTTAACGAGCTGCTATTGTGACTTCTAACCTGGAGGTGCCCATTTTACCACCCACCGCCTGCTCGGCCGCCCTTCTGCAGGCTGCCCGGCCCCCCTCCCAGCCTCCTCGCTTCTCCCCAAGGCGTCGTTCTGGCCCCGGGCAGCCTTGGCCACCCGCGTTGTCTCCTGGCCACGGCTTTCCCTCTCCACGGCAGGGCTGTCTGCCTGTTTTGCCATCCTGTCCCCTCCCGGAGCCATCTCTGAACAGGGGTGTCCATGGCCCCAACCCTCCCAGGGGACTGTCACATCCTGCCCGCTGTCATTCACTTCCAGGTGCTGATGGACACCCCACTTCACCTGCACCTTCGCCCCAACTGGCCATGACGGGCTGCCCTGGCTGGGGACCAGAGCTTCCACTTCTGGCCCCTGGCTTTGAATGGCACCTGGGTCTTGGGCCACTTTCCTGCCCATTAAGGGGATGGGCAGGTGGCCTGGAGTGCCCTCTGGTTTGGATAAGCCCTGTGCCCCTCAAAGCCTTAGGCTCATAAATACCACAGGGGCCTGACCCAGGAGGTCCCAAGTGGGTTCAGAGAAGCACTGTGAGTCTGCTCTCAGATTTCCCAGTGGAGACCACCGGCAGGTTTCCTGTGCCCACCCCCAGCCCCACTTTCCTCCTCGGACAGGGGCTGGCCCCTCACCGGGCAATGATGAGGTCTGGTGTCTGGCAGGGAGTCTGCAAGGGCCCTGACGGCAGACGCCAAGGTGGCCCTGGCCAAGCCCAGACCTGAGACTGATGGAGGAGGTCGTGCGGGTGAGCTTTGGGGTCAGGGGAAGCGTCCCAGGAAGGAGGGGCCGGAGCCGAGCAGCGGGGCGCTGGGGAGGACAGCATTTCAGGTGATAGGGCTGGAGGGAGGGAGAGAGGGAGAAAGAGGAGAGGGAGTGAGTGCGAGCCCAGGCAGTGCAGCTGTTCCAGCTGCTGGACAGGTGAGAGGGAGCCACCTAGTGGCTGTGCCCCACAGCGTTTGCTGTTGGGTCAGCTCCCTGGGCCTCCGTTCACACCCCGCACATCCTGCAATGCAGCTCCAGCCTAGGGCAAAGCAGCTGGTCACAATGGGAGGGACAGCTCCCAGCTTTCCAGCTAGCCCCAGTCTGGACATTCTGTTCATTTTAGGGACAAATCAGAACCCACCACACACAGGCTCGTGAGCTGGACATGAGACTGCCCAGCATCTGTGTCCACTGCGTCTCCAGCACACCCAGGCTGCAGGTCCACCTGCCTTCATGGCCCTGTGGCCCCTGTTCCCCCGGGTGTGCAGGTCCCACCTCCAGGCAGCAGCGCCCATCTGGGATGTCTGCATCCCAGCAACCTTACCATGCTCATCTTCTGAGTGGGGACCCGTCACTCACAGGTCCCCCGTGCTGCCCTTAGTCAGGGCACCTCACCACCTCACCCAGAAGGGAGATGGGTCAGTGAGAGGAGTGAATGGGAACTTTGGGTTCTGGGCCAGCTGTCTGTCACCTGCTCTGCATACCCCTGGCATGGTTCCAGCCACCCTGGCATATGATGTCTCCTGTGATCCCATTTCACAGGTGAGCTAACTGACTCAGGGTGGGAAGTGAAGTGAGCGGCACAAACGGGGTGCCCATACGGGATGCCGGTGCTGCAGGTGGCGGCTTAATGTGCTGTGCTACCGTAATTGCCCCAACAATGTCATTTTATTTGATCCCTGCCAGAGACCCATGGGAGTTCTGAACCGTCCCATTTTACAGGTGTTGCAGCTTAAGCGACTGGACCAAGATGGCCCAGCAGCCAGTGAGGCCAGACCTGGAGCCCTCAGCCACCCGGGGCAGTTAGCTCTCACGGTAAAGCTGTTACTGCGTGCCTCTGACAGTTGCATTTATCGGGAAACAGAAATGTGCCTTGACTTTCCATGGCATGGCAAGCTGCGGCGCCGTGAGTCAATGGGCTTGTCACTCCTCGCGGTTAGGCCCGGGGAGCCGAGCAACTGGATGGTCTCCAGTGCCAGCTCCTCTCGGCGGCTGGAGCTGGGAGCGTACAGTGAGCTGACATTTAATTTAGAATCCAACATACCTTGACACAAACCCACAATGCGAAGGCAGGGGCGGGGAGGGGGAGTCCGAGTGACAGGGTAGATTTCTTTCTTCCTTATTTTATTGTTTGTGGGGCTGTGTGGATGTTGAGCGGGAATGACAGGCTGGAGATCACGATCTAAGGCGACAATTAGCAGGGAAGCGTGTGCCTTTGTGCCGGCTGGCTGTGCGGGGGTGGGGGTCGGTGCCCTGCGTCCTCCGTCCCCACCCCCGCCCCAGAGGGCATGTGTGGCATCTCTCTGCGTGTCCATCACTCGTAACCCCGGCCCAGCTCTCAAGACTGCAGCTGGAGCTGTGAGCGGGACAGTGCAGCCATGAGGGGCACACTTGACCCCATCCCCACCCCTGCAAAGGGGGTCCTCGGGTGCACCCAGAGCTCTGCAGACACGGGGCAGGCCAGGGGCAATGCTCTACGGGCTGGGAGTGGAGCGCCTGTTTATTATTTAGCTGACCATCCTGACGGGGCTGGGAAAGGCAGAGAAGGCTCTGGGGCTGGCTCAGAGGCAAGGAGTGCAGAGGTGGGAGCCTGGGATCAAGCTCAGCCTGGCAAGTGGGGCTGGGAAAGGTGGGACCAGGCAGAGCACAGCCCTGCCCTGGAAGTGGTTTTCAGTAAGGTCCTTGTACCATCCCCTGGGCTTTGGGAAGAAGCCTGACCCGGGACACATTCTGGGCCTGGCATTCTACCTCCACATTCCACCTCCCGATTCCATATTCTTGCTGCAGCAGACCCTGGGCGGCAGTCTGTGATGGCTACACTGCTGGTACCTTGGGTCCAGGTTGCACCTAGCCCAGCCCCAGTGAGGGGTGAGCCAGCAGATGACAGACCTGCCTCATCTATCTCCCCCGCCCCCCCCAAGCCCCCAAGGAGCTGGGTGGAGAAAACAAAATCCTTGCTGAGAAGTGTAGGTGCAAGCCATGGCCGCATCCTACCTGCAGGCGGCCGGGCTGTCTAAACTGGGGCTCCTGGTTTCATCCCCACCACCCACGCGGGGGTAGGGGGCTGGGGGAGCTGACTGACCCAGAGGAGGCAGTGGAGTAGGGTGGCCACAGGGGCCTGAGGGGATGGAGGAGGGTTGTAGCACGTGTTCTCTTTCCAGCCGGTCCCTCCTCCCCAGCTGGTGTGAATGCACGGGAGACCCTCTCTGGCAGCTGCTGCACCTGCTGGGGACTCCGGGAGCTCAGCCACTCCTTCACTCACTCACTCCACTCACCAAGCAGCTCCCTGCAGACCCACCCCACCCGGTCTCCACCCAGGCTGTCCTCAAGGGGTCAGTCTGCTCCAGGCACAGCTCTGCCCTGGGGCTCATCTGCTTCAAGCCTCATGCTTGCCAGAGGGCACATGTTTTAAAAATATATATTTATTTATTTGAAAGAGTTCTAAAGAGATCCTCCATTCACAGTCAGTCTTCAATGACCACAACAGCTGGGGTGGGTCCGTGGGTACAAGGGCACGCTGCCCATTGCTCTGTTTCCCTGTCCACCTAGCACCTGCCAGCATCAGGGGCCAAAGAGTCAACATCCTTGCTAAGGACGCAGAGCAGAGCACGCATTAGTGGTCGTGGTGTGGCAGGTAGACACCAGCCCTGCAGTCCCAGGCCTTCACGGGCAGGCGTGAGGCTATGTGTCCGTGGGACAGTTCTCCTTGTCTTCCCCAGCAGGTGGTACTTCGGCGGGGGGAGGGGGGGGCTGCCTGATGACCAAAGATGTGGTCTTGGCTCTAGCTTGGGCTCTGGCCCCCAACCTGCCCTGCAGTGTGGGGCTGCAGCCCACCAAATCTGGCACCCTGGGCCTCACTCAGACCCCCAGCTGGGAGTGGGAGGTGGGGCCATTGCAGCCTTGTGGGAAGTGAACCAGCAGAT